GTGAATGGAGCCCACAACAGGTGGGCCTGTGTCCCCACAGCCGGTGGGCCTGTGTGCTCTAAATGCCAGGACCGATTTTTGGTCCCAGTCTGGCCTTGCTTACATACACGCATATATAGGCATAAATCATAAGTATAAACAATTGTTGCTATGTGCCGTCAAGTTGCCTCTGACTTATGGTGACCCTATGAATGAGCAATCTCCAGAATGTTCTGCCCTCAACTGCAGTGTTTGGCTCTTGTAAACCTATGGGTTCCTTTAGAAAGTTACCGTATTTTTCCATGTATAAGATGATACTTTTGTCTAAAATCTTTAGATTAAAAATTGAGGGTCATCTTATACACGGAAGTAAGCTGAGGCGAGAACAAAAACAAGTGGAGGAAAAAGCAGAGATCAAAGTGATCCCGCAGTGCTTTGATCCCTGCTTTCCCCTCCTTTTGCTAAGGCTTAGAAAAGTGGGTTAGAAAAGTTGGGGGGTCTTATACATGGGGGCATCTTATACATGGAAAAATACAGTAGTCCATCTTGTATTTGGTCTTCCCATTTTCTTGCTCCGTTCCACCTTTCCCAGCACTTTCCTCTTTTCTGGGCAATTCTGCCTTCTCATGATGTGTCCAAAGTAGAATAGCTTCAGTCTCAACTTTTTTGCCAAGTTCAGGCTTGATTTGATTTAGGACCCACTTATTTGTCTTTGAGGCACTCTGGGTATCTGTAAAGCTCTCCTTCAGAACCACAGTCCAAACAAATCAATGATATTCCTGTCAGCTTTCTTTACCATCCAGCTTTCACACCCATACTTAGTGATGAGAAATAAAAGGGTGTGGATGATCTTGGCCTCGGTCTCCAGTGAGACATCCTTACACTTGATTATCTTTTCTAGTTCCTTCAATGCTGCCCTTCCTAGTCTCGATCATCTTCAGATTTCTTGGCTGCAGTCTCCATTTGGAATGATGAATGAACCAAGGTATACAAAATCTCTAACTATATCAATTTCTTCATTGTCAATGCTAAAATTGTGTAGGTCTTGTTTAATAATGATTTTTGTCTTTTTAACACTCAACTCCAGTCATCCTTTGGCATTTTCTTCTTTTATTTTCACTAAAAGTCATTTCAAGTCAGTGTTGCATTCTGTCAGTAAGATGGTGCCATCTGCATATTATTGATGTTTCTTTCACCAGTTTTCATTTCTCTTTCATCTAAGTCTAATTTGACTTTCTGTATGATACAGATTGAACAGATAAGTGGATGAAATGCACCCTTGCCTGACACCTTTGCCTATAGGAAACTGTTCTGTCTCTCCATATTCTGTACTAATGGTAGCTTCTTGTCCACAATACAATTTACACATCAAGACAATCAAGTGCTGAGAAAACTTATTTCTTTCAGAACAAATTCTCATGATCTACACAGTCAAAGGCTTTTCCTGAAATCTATAAAGCACAGACTTATCTTCTTATCAAATTCTTTGATGCTCGCTAGTAGCCAGTGGATATTTGCAATATGCTCTCTTCCTTTTCAAAATCCAGCTTGAACATCAGGTGTTTTTGGCTCCATATAAGGTAATCACTCTTTTTAAAACACCTTAAGCATCACTTTGCTTGCATGAAGAATTAAATCAATGGTCCTATAGTTATTGCACTCCTTGGCATCTCCTTTCTTAGGGATTGGAATGTATATTGAATGTTTCCTGTCTGTGGGCCATTGTTTTGTTTGTCAAATCTGTTGACATATTCTCATTTGGATTTTGTCAGATTCAGTCTCTGGTGTACACAAAACACAATGCACATGAAAAATTAATATACAACATTTGCTGCCTTGGAATTGGCATTACAATAATAAGAAGTCTGATAACAAATTGATCAGGTCACAGACAAGAGCAAACGACACATGCGAAACACAGAACAGAACTGACACAAGGAAAACCACGAAACAGGTTTCAATTATATGGAACTTAGCATGTAAACACACTCGAAATTTGGAACAAGGGCCGCAAGGCTGTGGTTATGCATGGCTGAAGCTGACCAGAGTAAGAACTCAGCTTCTCTTAGAAGGGTCAGGGTGAAGCACATTGGTTTGTCTAGAAGAGATTTGTTGTTGGCTCCATCGTCTTCTTTGTATTTGACTATTTACTTGGGGTGTCCCTGGAGCCTTATGCTTGCTGCATTTGGTTTTACTGAGCTCTTTCCCTCTGCATCTGATGAGTTCACTGTCTGCCTACCATGCTACCCCACATGGGAAAAAGCATGTGATATCTCTTGAGGCATCAGAACAGAATGATAACACTTTTCAAATACTTGAAAGGCTGTCATACAGAGGAGGTGCAGGATTTGTTCATGATCATTCCAGAGTGCAAGACACGCAACAATGGGCTCAAGTTACAGGAAGCCAGATTTTGATTGAATATCAGGAAAATCTTCCAAACTGTTAGAGCAGTACAACAATGGAACCAGTTACCTCAAGAGGTGGGGAGTGCTCCCACACTGGAGGCATTCAAGAGAAACTTAAACAACTACACAGCAGATATCCTTTGATTTATATTCCTGTACCAAGCAGGGGGTTGGACTTGATGGCCTTATAGGCCCCTTTCCAACTTCATGATTCTATGGGTCAGAATATCAGCCAGACTCTGGGGAGTGCAACCTATCTGCCAACACAGGTTGTGTTAAAAGATGGGATCAAATACTTCTGCATAAGTGGGTCTCCTTGTGAAACCCCAAGTCCTAGGCTTGTGGAATGGTGACCTTTTTTTATTTATTTTATTTGAAGCATTTATTCATCACTTTTCTGTCCATCAGGGCTCTTGAAATTATCATAAAGCAGAATGAATTGATTTTTTAAAAAAAAAAAAGATTAGTAACATTATTTTTAAAACAGATCAAAACTTATTTAAAAGCAGATTTGAAGCATTCCCAAAAAGGCAACTCTAAACCCAGTGTTGGAGACCAAAGGCCTCTGGAGACAATACAGTTGTTGACTGCCCCTCCCCACCCCGTGCGCGCACATGTGCACACACACACACAAACACACACCATAGTTCAAGAGCAGCTAGCCTGATCTCTCTTGAGAGACACCTCTAGAGCTGAGATGCTGCTACAGAGGAAGTCTTATCTTAGGTGCCCGAATGCCCCCTTGCTTGGGATGGTAGAATATGCAACTGAGCCTCCACTGGGGATATTCTGCTATAGGAAGGTGCATACAGGAAGTGGTGGTGTTTTGGATATCCTGGTCTCTAGCTGCTTTAGAGCTTCATTGATCAAAATCAGCACCCTTTTGGAAGCACATTGGAAGGCGGTGCAATTGATTGAAGGCTGGTGTTTACGTTCTCTAAAATGCCAGACAGCAATGTGACCATTGCCTTTTGCACTATCTGTAGCTTCTAAATCTCTTAGAGTGTTTGCAGACAACAATGAAGCACATGGTCCCACTTCTTTAAGAGCAAAGAAAAAGGGTATCATGGATATTCCTCTCCCTCTTTCACCATGACCCTTTCCCACCCTCTTACTGAGACAACAGATGACTTCCGTGTGCTTCCGCAGAGCAAGTGGTGGGTGGACAATGCTATCTAGGGACAACCTGGGGAGGATGGTGGAAGCAGCACCTGTGGCTGAGTACCCTTTCACTGTTGAAAAGATGTGAAAGGGTCCAAACCCCTCCCCAGATGGTTCTGACTCCTACAAGTAGGCTGTGTCCTCACACTAGTATCCAAATGTCACCAAGTCAGTCCTGACCTGTGTTGACCTTTTCCAGGATGTCCTACGTATAGAGTACTTAGAAGTAACTTCCCATTCCCTTCTTCTTGGGGGATTCTGGGACTCTGCAGCTTGCCCAAGACTATACAGGTTGGCTCTCCTGGGAAGGAAAGTGAGGAACCGACCTTCCAGTCTCTGGTTCTACAGCCAGGTTCCTAATTCACTGAGCCACTAGCTAGCGGTAATTCATTGGTGAACAGTACCATGCTCCCCAAACCTGGCATCAAGCATAGAGAACATGATTTTAGCACCACTAGTTTGGGTGAAATTTAGGGGAATCTAACATTCTTTGGATTGTATCCAAGGTACAGAAAAGCCCTAAATGTTCTGTGTGAAGTATGCATTCCTATAGCATGCACAAAATTAGGCTAAGACCCGGAGAGATTCTTTAGTTATTCTGGAAGCACTGTGCATGCCCGATTGTTTTGTTTTTGCCTTTTCCCCTTTGATTGGGTAGCCTGCATTGCACACAGCTTTTGGAAGCCCACTCAGTTTCAACAGCAGCTTACCATGTGATGAGTGGGAGAGGGCTTCTGATGAATCCCCAAGCCTTAAAAATAAGCCCAAAGTATCCTTTGATGCACAGGACTGGATAGGATTTTTAAAGATCCCAGTTCAGTTTTTATTTGTCCAGGGTTATTTTAGAGCCAGATGCTTATAGGAATGATCCAAAGACATGCCCATTGTGCATAAAGGACTACCTTTTGAGAAGCATGGCCATTCCAAAAAGACATAAGCATCAAGAAGGAATAGATGGATTTCATATCCACAAAGTATCCTTTGCAAAGACCATGAAAGCATTCCTCTCTCTTCCCTTCCCCCTCCTCTCTCTCTCTCCTGTGAATGACACAGTTTGCAGAATGTACAGGCAGATGCCTGCTGTCATTTGCTTTATTAAAGAAATTCTGGAAAACATACCATGGAGCTTATTACTCATAATAATCTGTTCTAGGTCCACGTGTGAACTGGCCCTTTAAGAAAGAAGCTGCCTTGGGCTTTTGGAAGAGGCAGAAAAGCCAGCCAAAAAGGGAGAAAGAGAGAGAGAGAGAGAGAGTCAGAATCAGAGATTTGTCACAGAGAGTTTGCTAGTTCACAAGACAGACCCTAGGCTAGACCAGCCTTGGTGCGTCAACAAGATGGCAACATCACACCCTCTCCCTGAAGGTTTCACTGAGCTCGAAGTATTTGGCTTTGGCACGGTGATGATGGCAGAAGGTAAGCTGGGATGGGACATGGTGAAGTGGGGAAAATCAGATCAGATCAGATCATCTCTTTGTTGTTTTGCTGCTCAAGCAAAGCTGCAGTTGGCAAAGATGTCAAAATCATCTGACAACATTAAAAGCAACAACTACCCAAAACCATAACATGTGCGCCAGACTAGTATAGACTCAAGGGTAAATGATGTTACTATGGCTACACCATTGTTCATTATGCCTTTATGAAACAGGGCAGAGGTTGTTTGCAAGGCATACCGTATTATGTAACTGTTAGGAAGTGCAAGTTAAGTTCACCATTGGGCAGATTCGGAGACAAAAGATCTTTATTTTTTATTCTCATAAGGACATTTTTCAAAAAACACTTTGTATTTAGGATGCAAAACCTATCTACCTGGTTTGTATTTCTTATTACTTGCTCTGGTGATAATGCCTATTGTTTTCCAGCTTTGTCTATCATTCTTCCCAAGAGTGCAGAAGTTTAAATAATAGAATGCCTCATCCTTGGGTAATGACAAACAAATGTCCACGGAAGGCAAACAAATGCATGATAAGATGGCATTGGATTTTAAATGTCTCTTTCTTACTAAGGAAAAACAGCAGAAAAAGTTCAGGCAAAATAACTGCTCTCTTTCATATGAAAACATTTCTTCACAAAGCTTTGCAAGATGCCTACTGACTGGGATTATTATAAGAATCCCAGCACACACTACAAATATGAAACGAGTGAACATCCCAGGTTCATAAGGAGCATGTTAGCTGACATCACACTAGTTTTGATACCCTTACTTTTTGTTCCCTTGGTGTTGGTATTTTTTGTTTTGTTTCTATTCCTTTATCTGCCTGTCTAGACTGTGAGTTCGGTGCGATTGTCATCTGTCCATGTGTCTTTCGTGGCTGATAATAAAAAGTGAAATGTACAACTTTCCCCATGGGCTCTTAAAATTAAAACTGAAGATGGCAAGCCTTTAATATATAAAAAACATAAATATTTTCCCCGAAAGGTCCGTTGAAAAGTACTTTCACTTTTGGCTGTGTCCAAACTGACCGTTTTGCACATGTAAAGCTTTACAATGAAAGATATGGTCATGATGAATTTGTTGTTCTTCAGGGAAATATCCTTTCAGGAAAAACAGTACTGTAAGCTTTTTGTCCGGTGTACAAGACTTGCTGTAAATACAAGACATGAGATCAAAGTTTAATTGTCATATTTTGGTATAAGAAAAAGGCCAGTGATTCTATACACAATATCCCAGGAGTAATGAAAACAATGAGACTGAGTAGATTCTACTATAAAACATTTGCTTCAACTTTCCCATTTACATCAAAGGACTTAAAAATGTTGAATTTCAGCTGCATCATGCATCATGTGCTAGGGTCTAATTATCTATCAATATTTCTATTAGACAAGAGTGGCTGTTTGATGAACAATAGAATTCCTTCCATTCACAGATCCAGTAAGGTCTTATAACTGGAAGAAGGCAAGACGGCAATTTTCAGTGATTCCCTTTCCCCCTGCAATCCTCTTGCCTCTTAGGATACTTCCTGGTTCCATAGGCAGATCTTCGGGAGGCAGAAAGAACAACCAACATGAGCCCCCATTCCTTTGATTTTAATGGATCTCTATCAGTTTTAAGTTTGAATGATCATTTCTGCTAAGTAGCTAAAATTACTCTGTGGTCATTATAAAACGGCAGTACTCTGGACCTTGCCACGAATGCATTAGGGCTTATTTCTGCATAAGCATGCATAGGATCAGGTTGCAAAGGCTCCTGTCCTTTACTTGGGAAGATGCTCCACTGACTTTGAGTTATATGTAGGATTGAGTTTTATGTATGACATATCATGTGTTTTTTACAGAACATTGGTCTTAGAAATAGAAAACGTAAACATGCATAGGATCAGGTTGCGAAGGCTCCTGTCCTTTATTTGGGAAGATGCTCCACTGACTGAGTTATATGTATGATTGAGTTTTATGTATGACATATCATGTTTTTTGTACAGAACATTGGTCTTAGAAATAGAAAACAAAACACACAGCTCTCCTTAGCCGTGAAGTTCACTGGCTGGTCAGTAAGCCAAAGTCTGGAGTCCCCCTTGTCCAAAGCATGTGCTCTATTCCAAGCTATGAGTCTATTGCTATATAGCTGGAGGGGGCAACTTGTGGCCGATGGGTCATATGTAGGCCCCCAGTGCTGTTTTTATGGGACCCCAGCTTTCCTGGCCCCCAGCCTTTGTACCCCCAAATTATTACATTTAAAATTAAAAAGAAAAAGCTCAAAAAGTCATCTTCTTAGGGGGCATGGGGGCAATTTTGCCATGTTTCAACCCCATACAGCAACCTAAGAGCACCATAATCCCCACAGTTTTTTTTAAAAAAAATTGGGCAGTGATTTATAATAATTACATGCTGTAAAGTCAGTTCCAACTTATGAAAATAGTTTCTAAGGATCTCTAGACATAGGAGACAGCGGTCCCATGCCTGATGTAAATTTAAAAATAAACAGCTACCGCTAAACTGCAAAAGGAGTGGGACTATCAGCTGTTCTTTTACAATTAGGAATGCACATAGCCTACCTGGCATATAATTAAAGGCCACACAGATCAGGCCCACCCACTCCAAACCTTTTTCATGACACTCCAATTTGTTTGTTGTCTGAGTCAGTTATGTTATTTTTGTGTTCTGGATCTTTGTGAGGGGGGAAAGTTCTGAGTAATGGGGAAAATTCTAATTTATGACCTGTGCTAAGGGTGGGGGCTTCACAGTGCCACCAATATCAAGGATTTGGTAGACTGGAGGTTTGTAGTTCTGCCGGTAGCACCCTTCTTGCTGCTGTACAAAAGCCAGAAAGCTGAGGGAATTACACAACCACAAAGAAGAAGAAAAAGTCTGGATTTTTTGTGTGGGGGGGGAAGAGAGAAGGAAAGACAAACCCGAGCACTCAATTTTTAACTTAGCTTATCAAAGCCCATCCAAGAGGAATGCAAGGGTTCACCACAGTCATACAAACTCTCAATCTTAATAATAAACTCTTTAGCAAAGAGTCTATAACCACAGTTCATGAACTGGATAAGTGTGGGGGAAGGCCCCTCCCCAAAGTTGCTAAGCTGTTGGCTGATTCTACAGTAGTAGGGCAAACTCTCCTGGATGATGTCACCGCTGCTTCTGGGAGGAGCTACTACCCATTCTTCTTTCTCATAGGTGATAGAGAGCTTGCTTAATTGCCTTTCCTTGAGCCAATCATAATAGCATTATGTAACCATTGTCCTATCTGTATACTGTCAACTATCTGTGAGCTTGTAAGGTTAATAAACACAGTCCTCCTGGGGGCAGGGCCGAGTAGTCTTGATCTTCTCCTTCTAATACTTGTAGCCCATCAGGAGCACTGCTGGCAGACATCTCTGTGTGTGGCTGACTTCTTTAACTTCTCTAAGACTATTCGCTATCCTAATTACTTGTGACTACATAGGCTATCAGCCTTCTCATTCCGTGTGTCCAACAGATAAGAAAGGAAAAAATGACAATTCTAGAATGTGACTCCTAACTAGCAACAATAATGGAAGTCTTTCACTTCACCTTATAACTGTGTGAAAGGGGTGGTGGAGCAGGTGCAAGAGGATATACACAACACAAGATGACCTTGTCTGAGACTTCCCTGCTGCCTCAGTGATTAGAATATCTAGGAAGGTCTTGTGTTGTCATTACCTTCTCTGTAGTTAGAGCCAGCAGCTCTCTCTGCAGACATGATGTTTTACTTTTGCATTTCCCCTTCCTCAGTTCAAATCACTGAGCATCTTTGGTTAAAAATGTTTTCATCCCACAAATGCTGGATAGAACACAAAAAACATCCAACCAACCACATGGGTAACCAGAAGCTGTTTGCCCTTCCTCTGGTCACTCCAAAATACACACTTGTCAAAAACAGCCGTGATAATTGCTCTGTGTTTGGGTGAGAAGTAGTTAACCAATGAAAAAAAGGAGTCAGCTTCTGAAATTTTCCCTTGTCTCTTTGTGAAAGGTAGTGAGCACAAGAGTGTATCCAGTAGACCACCTTGACAGTTGCAGTTGGGGTTGTCAGTATTCAAGTTGCCCTTCACTATGTAAAGCTGGCTTGTCCAACCTGCGGCCCGAGGGCCGCATGCGGCCCAGGTCAGCTCATAATGTGGCCCAGTGCAATTTTTTATTTTTAAAGAAATTCCAAAGTTTTAAGTTACACTGCCGGCGCTTGCGGCTGGAATGTGGCCGGGGCATGTCACAATAGTAGAGGGGGAAAGAGGGAAGGAAGGAAGGAGTGGGAGGGGCACAGCACAGGGGGGCTGCGTGACTGCATTGCGCCATCCCCATCAATAGGTGGACCTCCTCCCAGCCCCATAAGGCCGCAGGAGTCAAAGCTGGCAGCCTCTGCAGCTTGGCATCCTTTTCCTTGCTGGCAATGCAGGCATGATATTATTCAGCAATATTGGATCAATTCCTGGTGTTTTGAATCATGGATACGGAAGCACAATATCCCACATACATAAACCAGAGGTTTTTTAAACAATTAAATTATTTTAACCTAACTTCATAGAGAGGAAGAGTGGCACCACTGGATATCTGGGGGATTGAAGTGAAAACAATGAACATGACCATCCTTTCTCATTCATCTGTTCATTGGCCACAGGAACATCATCTGGGAAGCTGGCTAATGCAATTGCTGTAAACTTTGTCTTCACTTGCCCCTTCGCACACGCATGCATGTGCGCGAGTGCCTGTGTGCATGCATGAGCAAGTGTAGCCCTTTCATTCATGTGTGAGAGTGCAGGGGGTGCCCCACCCCCCAGTCATGGACACCGTCCCCCCAACCGGTCCTCAGTATCAAAAAAAGTTTGGGAACCACTTCAGTAGAGAATACACCAAAGTGGCTTCCCATTCCCTTTTTCTAGGGGTGCCCTGGGAATGTACAGCTTGCTCAAGGCCACACAGATTGCCTCTGCTCCAAAAAGGTTACTGTGGGGATTCGAACCCCCAACCTCTGGCTCTGTAGCCAGATATCTAAACCACTGAGCTAACTGCCCTCTTTTTCCTTCTCTCAAGTTTGTCTTAAAGTATGAGGAGATTGGCAAAACCACTATGTCTGCAAATCAAATTGCCCCTGTTTTGACATGATACTCATATTTCTATAAGCACAGATATAACCCTATTTTCTAGCCAAAGTCACCTTTGAGTTTACAAACAGATGTATAGTTACTCTCATTACTATCTGCAGAAATAAACCGTGGTCTTGTTGCAAATTATGCCTTTGTTGCAATTTGTTCTGATCACCAAAAAAACAGAATATTAAATAAGTGAAAGAAGCAAAAAATGTGCTTTTTTACAGCATTGCTTGGATTCTCTCTGAATATGTTGACCATTGTCTCTTACTGGAAAATCAAAGAAGTTCGAACACCTGGCAACTTTCTGGTTTTCAACCTTGCGCTGTCCGACTGTGGAATCTGCATCAACGCTTTCATAGCAGCGTTCTCTAGTTTTTTAAGGTAATTTTCATGTGTCTGCCTATGTATATAAGCATATATTTGGATCATGTAAATCAGTCTTTTCCACTAACAAGAAAAAAAAGAAGCACTCAGGAACATTAAAAGCAAGGTGTCATATGAAGCCTTTACTCCCAGTTACAACATGGTCCCTTGATGAGATTGCAAAGGTGCAGCTAAGCATGGTTCAGATAGAAGGGCCTTGCAGTGTTATGTAAGGCGTCCTCCTCTTGTAATTTTAAGCAATTTGTTTGTCTTTGGCCATCATCCAGGGAGCCTCCAGGAACAAGAGGTTGATCCTCACAGCAAAGATGATGTACTGTGAGGACCAATCCATTCAAGGAATGATTAGTAAATTCTAGGGAGAAACTGATATTTTATATCCCTTGGTCAAGCAGCAGCACTCAATTGCAGAACGAGTTTCACTGTCTTGGTAAGCTGCAACATGCTTTCTCTACCTCACCAGCTGTCTTCCCAAGATCACAACTGTATGGGGTCTTGGCAAACACATCTTCCAAAAGCCATGTCTGCAAAGTTAATGTAGGAACAGAGCCTATGGAAAAGGGGATCCGCAAGTGGCTGAGTGGGATTGCACCTACCATTCCAATCATTCTGCAGAGAGCATCTTTCTGCTTTTGGGGAATCAAAGCCGTCTAGGGGAAAGTGAGTTAAAATAGTATGGGGAAGAATATGCAAGGAAAAATCCATTAATGAAGAAAATGTTGAATACCGGCTCCTCCCTATGTATTCCTCCATATATTTCACTCCCCACCCTTTTAGATTTTCCTTATGACTTCCAGTTCTGTCATAAGCCTCATGGTTGTATTTCTCATCAAGTGCTTTAAAACAGTGGTCCCCAACCTTTTTGGGGGTTTTTTTGTTTGTTTTATTAATAATAATAACTTGGGATAAGGTAAGGGATACAGAGGGCAAAGGGGGATATGGGAGGAAAAAAAGGAGGGGGAGGAGAAACACAAAATATACTGACATCCAATCTATACATAATTCAATATCAACTCGACTTTCCGCTTATACTATCTGATTGCCCTCCAAGTTTTAACTTACATTTACATCCTATTTTAAATCTATGTTATTCAAGTACTATCTGGTGACCCAACCTTTTTGGAACCGCAGATCGGTTGTCAAGGGAAGGGGGCCATATGCATTCGCGGGTGGGTGTGTCACACGAGCGAGTGAGCGAGCATGACACTCCCCCGTGAGCACATTTTTGGAACCGCAGACCGGTTGTCAAGGGCAGGGGGGGCATGATGCATTCGCGGGTGGGTGTGTCGCGCTCATGGGCAGGTGTGTCACATGAGCGAGCGAGCATGACACTCCCCCGTGAGCACAGCACACCCACCATGAATGCAACACACCCACAGCAAGCACAACACGGCCACAGTGCATATGTGCGGGGGGAGCAGAGATCCATCTCTGTGGCCCAATCCTAGGAAGCCCACGGATTGGCATCGGGCCGCGGTCCGGGGGTTGGAGACCCCTGCTTTAAAACATGCCTGATTATTCTGAAACATGAAGACATTGGCTGCAGTCCTGTTGCTTAGCATAAGAAGTTGCAATTAGGATAGTTCCATTCAATCAATGGAACCTATGTAGGAGGAGGCTCACCAAACTGATTCAGTGAGACCACTCTAGCAGTGACTTCCTGTGCTAAGCATAGGGTTTCAGCCATTTTGTGATTTCATTTGAATAACTGATGATAAACTTTATCAACCTCCCCATAGCAGTTGTCCTCTAGCTCTTTGAGACTGCAACTCCCATCATTTCCAGCCAGAATCTATAAGGTTGACAAGACTGTATCATATGAATCTCAATACTCATTTTGCCTTCTTGTCAATGTTGTGTCCAAAGCAGATGCCCCAACTGTCCCAAGTAGTAGAAATGCCTCTATTTTCTTCTCTTTTTCCTCCCAGATACTGGCCCTATGGCTCAGAAGGATGTCAGATTCATGGATTTCATGGATTTTTAACCGCCCTGACCAGCATTAGTTCAGCAGCTGCAGTTGCCTGGGACCGATACCATCAATACTGCACTAGTAATTCTCGCCAATTTGCTATTTTTAACATTGTATTATTGACAAATTAGAAGTGAGCTGATGCAGAAAAATGAGAACAGATGCAAAACGGTGAAACAAAACTTAGTATGGGAACATGGAGAAATAGTTAAACTTTAAATAATAGGTGCATGCTCTGATCTATATGAAAAACAGAACTTTAGCGACAGTCCACAGATGTTAGAAGCTGCCTTCTTTCCACCCATTAGATCATATGAAAAACAGAACTTTAGCAACAGTCCACAGAAGATAAGAAGCTGCCTTCTTTCCACCCATTAGATCATCTCACACAGTATTGTCTCCTCTGATTTACAGTGGAACTCTGCAGTTTCAGACAAGGGACTTCCTCACACCAACCCTCCCTAGAGGTGCTAGAAACTGAACCTGGAACTTTCTATATTAAAAAGCATGCACTCCCCATCAAGCCATGGCTGATATTCATCAGTGGTGGTGGAAAAATGTACTTACTTTTAGTTTTAGTTACTTTTCAAAGTAACTAACATTAACTGTTTTAGTTACTTTTGAGATATGGGAAAGTCAACATACTATTATGTGAACCTACAAACTAACTACTGTATAACTTTTTAAAAAAGACTTTCCAAACTCTGCAAGCAATGCAGGATGTTTGTTATGCAGTTTGTCCTAGAACACTTCCCAAAATAAATACCTTGGGAGGAATGAACCATATCAGTACTGTTATGTGTGGACTGTGGAGCTTTAACTCTTTGCCACCAAAGAGATCTGAATAAGAATTATTCATCCCGTGCAACTCCTCCCAATGAAAGTACGTATGCCATGTTAAGAGCCAAGTGGAAGAGGCATGTTTTATGCCTCTCTAAAAATGCCAACAAAGGAGGAAGAGATTATTCTACTGCCACCAACAATACATGGACTTGAAAAGGAATGTGTGACGAATGCTTGCTTTGAAACCTGAGTTTTTGCCTGTCTGTAGAATTTTTCCCTCTTCAAATTTATGGAGTGAGCCCTAACTATTATTAAAAGTTGTATATAACATGACATTTAGAAGTAGCTTTTGACTCTGCCGATTGCCAGAATGTTTATGTAAATAACACTTTGAAATGTCATTAGCAGTATTAATGCAGTTCTTATCTTCTGTATCCCATTTCACGATGATCACTCTACCACAGTCATGTACACTATGTATGCAAAGCTGTAGCCTAAATACTTGCTCTGTGAAACTGAGGAAGCAGATTGTAATCCATAGTAGCTAACATTGAAATAAATCTGTTAGTCCTAGAGTTGCCAAAATACTTTCTTAATTAGGACAGCAATTTAAAGATATTTAGATTGTGAGAAAACCTTTCTGTGCTTCAGCTTTAAAGAATGATGTGAAATGAGTGCCATCTAGTGGCTTGTAGTTGTCTGTACTGGATTCATGGGTGAATTCAGAGAGACAAGGTAGGGGGCCCTAACCAATTTTGACTGTAATAGCTAAAAAAATCCTCTGCAGGGGAACTGTGAGGATTTTTTTTCAGGTCCATAAACCTCTAGGTAGAGATCCAAGTATTTTGTTATTTCATTCTCACATGCAAGATCAAAGATTTTTGAAAGTTTTTGCCCCAGTGGGTGAGATCAGAGGGTTTTTTCTGCTTTTTTTTGGCACTTTAGCAACTTTTGCAGGGGGGAATCATCAATTTTGCAGAAAAATGCAAATACAAAGTTTTTGATCAGCTTTCAAGAAAAATCAAATAATATTTTTTTAAAAAAAAATGTTGGTTGGATGTTTAATGCTATTTCCGGCCAAGAAAAGTGCTGATCTTATTGCTCTCTTGTAGGAGTAAAGAATGTTACACCAATTGCCCTTTTTTTCCGCTTAATATATTGAGATACCTGGTGGGGGTGGGGGTCAAGGCCAAGGAAATGTGTATGTGCCACATCCTTATCCTTAAGTTACCTGCTTCCTAAACCACAGGAGTGCATACCTAACATCAGCCCAGAACAGAGCCTGAACAGGATTATTGACAGTCCCTGTGATGGACAATGCAAACCATTTAAAGAATGCTCTAACAGCTATTTGACCTGGAATTTGAAAAGGCTAATCAGCCTACTGTGGGAAAGGAGAGTGTTTGGCAGCAGTCTAGTATAGCAACAGTTTAAAGCTGTTCTTATGCATGACAGTGAACAACCTTTAGAAGCAGACTTGCTATGCAATATTATTATGGGGTTCTTCGTATGTCAAAGAGCCTGAAGAATGGCAATGATACTATCTATTTATTAAAATGGATTGAACTGGGAAGTTAGTGGTTAAAAGCAGATTTCAAAATCCCAGAGTGCAGCTGGAATACAGCAATAGCAGCTTAATTCTGCTTTCACTGTCATGGCTTCCTTCTGATGAGTCTTAGGAACTGCAGTTGTCTGAGGTATTTAAAATTCTCTGCTGTAGTTCCAGGGACTGGACACTAGTGTCCTCTAGGAGAAAATTCCAAATGCCCTCACTAAAACACCAGTACAAAAATCCAGGATTCCATGAGATAGAAACATGAATGTAGAATGTAGAATCAAATTGCAATAACTACGTTGTGTAGATACAGCCTAACTTTCCAATTGGAGTTAATATTGCATTTCAGGCAATGAAATACAAGTTGTAGCTAGAATGTAAATCAACTAGAATACAAACTACACAGTTATAACAGAGAAATTAAATAGAAATAGACAAAGGAGAGAGATATAGGAGTCAGACTCAAAGCAAGTCACAGACCTTGTCTATGCTGATCAGCCTTCACAGCAAATTTGACCATATTAACCATTATAAATGTACTGGGTGGCAAATATTTGATCTTACCCATATCATTAAGGGAAAAGTAAACCCCATTAGTAATTTATCAACAAACTTTTTCTTAAGTGCATCACATAATTTATAGAATAATACATGGTGTATACTCTACCTGTGGACTACCACAAATGCATAAACACTGATCTCTGAGGATTTTCTTAAATCTTTTATTTTTCTTTCTCTCTCCCCCCCCCCCAACACGCAAAACTGGATTTCATAGTCTAGCATCACAAGGTTGTATATGCCATGTGGGGGCGGATATGGATGAAATTCAAGCAAATATTTATCTTTACCACAGTGCAATTTTGAACAGGGAAAAGTACTGGGAAATCTAGCTCTTCTAATAGCCACCATACCCTTTTCTGCAAAGAATTCTTGAACGTGTGATTTAATATTACCACTGATAGACTGCATCCAAGGAGAGGAAATAACTCCTGAATATACTCTATACTTTCATAGCAATAATTTACAACAAACCATCCAAGTATTTTGAAATCTGTGTCTGTTCTGCCATACATATTTTATCCAGTTCATGTAGGAAAAAAATCAGTTTTAAAACATAATTTAAAAATGGTGCTCAAGATTAAATCCAAATTTTGCATTGCTCCTACCGGTACTTCTGAACATAAGCAAGGTGTGGGTGTTCCCAATGGAAGGCTGAATAAAATATGGATAACATTATGCTGTACTGATTCCAATTGATCAGATTCAAAGATACCCCACATTTCTGCTTCATATGTTATTTGTGACATAATCTTGGCAGCAAAAACCCTCAAGGCTGGCTTCGCAAGACCCATACCTTTCACTCAAGCAAATTTCAAAACTAACTTTACTGGCCTTTGCATTTTTAATATATTTGCTTGCCAGTGACTCATTTATGAACCATTAAAGTTCTAAAATAGCCCATGCTGGGCTGTAGATGAAAATCTTCATGGTCTAAGAACTGAGACTGAGTAAGTAGGTGCATAGATGTGTTGCACCCTACTATTCTGGGCTAAGGACATATACACCTTCTTTACCCTATTGGCTGTCCTGTTTTATACTGTTAAATGTCATAAAGAAGTCATTCTCTAGTTCTCTAAAGAGAACTTCCAGGGTTCCAGTTCCTATCTCTAATCCACAATAAATTAGGCCCCCTCAATATCATTTCAAATTAGAGGTAGATGTACTTGTCATTTAGGACTGTTTCTTCTCGTTTTACAACTTCCATCCCACATGTATGGAAACAACTTTTCTTTTCTGTGCAGGAAGCAAGCTTCAGTGGGGCTCAGTGGTCTCCATGGCAATGTTCCTCTGGCTGTTTTCTGCCTTTTGGGCTGCAATGCCACTTCTAGGGTGGGGTGAATATGATTATGAGCCTCTGAGAACCTGCTGCACTTTGGACTATACCAAAGGAGACAGGTAAGGGCGATTTAACAGAGAGGTGCTGAGGCTTCAGGAGGGACTGTAGAGGAATAACCCAGGAGACTCTATAGGCCAAATTCTGAGCTGCAGCAAACTAGAGTTAGACCCACAAGTCCTTCCCCTTTGTCACTCTGTAACCTAGATGTTCCTGATGTATTAGTGTACCTCTGGCCTTTTGTAAAGGAGTTACAACCAAATAAACATCCCTGTGGCACTTCTAAAGACTTTAACAGAATGGTGCCTGCTACTCCCTCACCTTACGCCACTGCAGCTGGCATGTCTTACAAATAAAACTCTGGTAACAAATTCTGTAATAGAAGCTAGATCAGCTCTTAGTTAATGCTGCCATTGCATAGATGCCTGTCAAAACTGGATAGTTTGCAGGTGAATTCGAAAGTGGGTTCTGGATGAAAAAGGTCTACCTGCAATGCTTCATCCACACAGTTAAGGCACCAATTGTCAGTCAGGTGTCAAAGAGCAATGTCTTAATTAGCCCGGAGCCACATCTCTGCGGAAATACTTTCACAATAAGAAAGCCACTAATAAGACATTGCGATTAGAACCTTTAGGTTATCATTGATTGTATGTTGCCATGTACAACATGCTATTGATCCAAATTATTTCCAGAGGTGGAAAATAACCATTGGTGTTCCAGATGGTTTAGACTACAACTTCCACAATCCATTGGAATTAGACTTGCTGGGTGAAACTTCTGTGAGTTGAAATCCAAAATGTGGAGAACCACCAGTTTCCCAGTCCTGCCTTCTTCTAGGTACTAAGAACCACTACCAACCAATAGTTAGAAGCCACCACTAGACGATCATACACAGCCAGGCTCTGTGTAGCTTCTTTCCTTTCCATTTTGCTTATATCCTTTCTTCTCTATTTACAGCAGGAAATTGTAACATTCCCCAATTTGTCCTCCAATCTGCTTGAATGTGTAATGACTGTTGCAGTGGGTGGTGTCTAATATCAAACACACATGGATACAAATAAAATAATATTTCTCTGTCTCCTGTCTTTCCCCTAGGAATTATATCACATATCTTATTCCTCTGGCCTTTTTCAATTTTGTGATCCCCGTTTTCATTATACTAACAGCCCACCAATCTATTGATCACAAGTTCAAGAAAACTGGACAGTTCAAGGTAAGTGTAATTCCTGCCAGGTTTCCAAGCTTCCACAGAAGCAGTCCCACATAGCGTGATGGTATGTTTTGCTATGCTGAAATAGGTCTTGTAATTAGCATCATTATCGTCAAGTTTTAAATGCACTCAACAAGGTGAACAGGAATTTAAACCGAGAGACAGAGGATAAGGGCAACCGGGGACTCTGCTCAGGTTTCTTAAGAGATTCATGTGACTGGACGTGCAGAGGTGAAACCAGCCCATTCCAACAGGCAATACAGCTGAAGTGATAAGAGTCAAGAGACCTCGGACTATTTTAGAAAATCTCCAAAGAGGAAGGATGATGTCCTCCCCTATCTTTGGCGCTCAGGAAAATACTAAGAGAGAAGGGTCGGAAGTGTCCCACCTAGTAATGGGCACAAACCAGCCCTTGGTGGTTGATGATGGTTTGTTGGTGTCCTCCAACCGTGATGCAAGATTTTCAGGGGTTAGATGAAGCAAAACGAAACACTGTGAAAATGTTCTGTGTTTCATTTTGCTTCATGAAAGTGCATTTCCTCAAACTGCTCACAAAATGAACCACAAACTGGTCTGGTTCGTGGTTTTTTTGGTTCGTGGTTCACTTCATGCCCATCTCTAGTCCCATCCTATGTTGGGAAAAAAGTGTACTGGTTTGGACTACAGATCCTGAAATCCTGCAGCTGACGTGGCCCCTGGGAGTTCTCACCCAAAGAAAGTTTGGATCCAATGGTCTCTGGAGGGACACCGGTTCTTCGTCCCTCTTTTAATGCATGGTTTTTGAAAGCAGAAGCAAGGTTGAATTTATTGAGCCAGGCCAACACAGTCTGAGGCATGTAGTTGATTATGTCGTACCAGCCTCCCTGCTGCCTCCATGCTGTCTGAGGATGATAAGCACCATAGTCCAAAACCTCAGGGTGGGAAATACACCTGGTTGAGTCAAGCTGTGCTGATCTATAATAACCAGCACCACTAGTCTTGACGATCACTACTATAGCATGAATTCCACCATTGCTTTAAAAAGTCTAGAAATATTTCTTGTACCCTTCCCTTCTCCCCCTTGTGTGTTGTAACAGTGAAAATTCTAAATGTGATCCATCTCAGTTACAATTTTTTTGTTTTTGTTTGTCAGTTTTGAAACACAGTATAACACTTTAATAAAAACATATTCCCCATAAAAATATTTATGGGAAAGTAGCAGATTCATTGCTAAATGTTACTAGCCAGTTTTGCACAAAAAGGCATTTGCTTATTGCCCGTCTCAACTTTTTATATGGATGATCATTAATCCATTGCCATATTCTTTGTTCTTATTTTTTTTTCCAGTTCAACACTGGTTTGCCAGTAAAAGCTCTGGTCATTTGCTGGGGACCCTATTCGCTTTTATGTTCCTATGCTGCCATTGAAAGTGTGGCTTTCATCTCACCCAAAGTCCTAATGGTATGTAGAAAATAGTGTGAGGTGTCACTGTGAAGAAGTATTTCCTCCATTGGGAGATTCCCCTCCCCCACCGATAGAGGTTTTGGGGGGTGGCCTTGTTTTCAGAATTTCTTTAGTGTTTCTTTTGGTGGTATTTGTGGACTCATTAGGAGATTAGCAAAGGTGTTGATATTGTTTGTTTGCTTGCTTGCTTTCTTGTTTCCATAATGCATCTTACTGCTCTTCTTCTACTCCCCTGGCTGCCTCCACCCTGTAGAAGAGCCACACACCCCACCCAGGAAGATTTCACCAAAATTTCCTACTCCTTTGATTTTTTTTTAAAAAAAGAGAGTTTACTTTCTGTCAAATTCAGCATGGATGATTTTTTAGAAAAAGTAGGGGAAATTTCTAGAACACTAGTCTGAGGGAGAGAAAAGGAGGACATTCATTATAATCAGATTCTAATACAAATGGTTGAACTTTGTACTTTTTGAAGTAATATGCAAGGTAGATTGTTCTTATCCTTCATTTTCACATTCTCTGAATTTTGTGTTGCAGATAGGAACAGGGGAAGCTGCTTTATACTTATTCATACCATTGGTTCATCTAAACCAGTATTGACAACTCTGATTGGCAGCAGCAACTCTCCAGGATTTCTGACAGGATTCTTTCCTAACATTTCATGGAAATCCCTGGTGTTCTCTGTTGTCACTCGTCCGTGTATAAGCCAGGTTTGCCTGTGCTTAGTATCTGACATTAGATGACACTAGATGTGTTTAGTTCCTTAGTTTTTTAAAAAATGTGTAAATTCACAATTATAGTCCATAGAAATTATGGGACTACAAGTTTTTCCAGCTTTTAGGAACACTTTTTGGGAACCACTAGTGACATTACATATAAAAAATACAGTAGTAATATTCGGTGGGGATATACTGTAGCAGGCATCTCCAGAGCTAGGAAAGAATCCTGCCCGAAACCCTACAGAGTTGTTGCCAGTCAGAGTTGATAACACTAAACTAGATGGATTACTGGTCTAGCTCAGTATAAGGCAGCTTGCAATGTTCCATTTCTGGATTAGGATGATGGGAAGGGTAGCCCAATGAATCTGGAATGTGCCCAATTTTTGAAGATTACCCTAAAAATGAAGGATTGTTGCTTACACTGGTGTGACAGAATCTTTAGATTGTGATTCACTTCCTATGAATTAATGGCTGAAACCATTTCTGGCTTATCAGCCTATGTTGTGGTCATATGCGAGACCTGGTTTTTTCTGCCAATTGGAGCGAGCGTGGTCTGATGGTGACTGACCTTGTGTCGGTACCCTTGTCATGGTCAGATCCCCACCTAATAAAATGTAACCTCTCAGTGGCTCGCCCTCCCTGCAGGGAGCAGGGACCTATTTCTATGGTCCGCCCTCGAAGGCTACTGGATCCCATAGGATTCCAGGATGCCATGAGAGGGATTTCAGCTGACCTGACTGGTGCTCCTGTCGAGGCTCTTGTTGATGGATGGTTTACCACCGCCACCAGGGCTGTAGATACGATTGCTCCTAAATGCCTTCTCCAGTGCAGAGCTCGGCCTGCGTCCTGGTTTAACTAGGACCTGAGAGCAATGAAGCAAACTAGGAGAAGCCTAGAGTGCAAGTGGAGAAGAGACCCGACAGTTCAGAATCGAGCAGCTGTCAGGGTCATGACCAACCTTTACCTTGCTAAGGTAAAGGCTGCTACGTAAGCACACTTCTCTGACCGGATAAGTGAAGCTTCAAATCAGCAGGTGGAACTTTTCCGTATTGTTCGTGATCTATCCAGAATTGGTCTAGGTGATGGGCCTCCCCTTAGTATCTCACCAGACCAATTTGCAGCATTTTAAAAATCTAAAGTGGAGGCCATCCGCCGGGAACTTTTTCCTTTTTTGAATACAGTGAGTCGAGCAGAGATGTCCAGCGCTCCGCCTTGCCAGGTGAGAATTGATCATTTTCAGCCGGTGACACCAGAGATTGTGGACAAAGCCCCAAACGATTTAGGACCTCACTATTTGACGGAACGTCTCCTCCCACCAAAATCTACCCATATCACTCGATCTAGTAAGGAGGTGCGACTGAGGAGCCTAACGCCGAGAGAGGCCCAGAAGGAAAAAACAAGAAACCGGACCTTCTCGGCAGTGGCTCCTCGGTTACGGAATAATCTACTTTCAGAGGTCTGCATGGCCCCTTCACTGGGTATTTTTAAAAGCCAATTAAAAACCTGCCCATTCAGGCAAGCCTTCCTTCCGGGCACTATTTGATCTATTTTCTTAGTTTTATCCATCTTGAATTATTAATTATTTTTTGGATATTGATGTTATGTTAATCTGTTTATTTCGTTTTATGTACACCGCCCAGAGTAGTCGAATGACTAGATGGGCGGGATATAAATAAATAAATATGTTCAGCTAAGAATAGATGGCACATGTTAAAAAATTGACTTTTGAGTATAATGCTACTCTAATTCTTTGCATTGAGTTCTTTCCCAAAGCTCTCTTCCTGGAAGCCCAGACCAGGAGAAACCTTAACATCATCCAATGTTGTGCTTCTCAACAGATTCCTGCTATTATTGCCAAGTCCTCACCAGCTGTGAATGCCTTAATCTATGCTCTGGGAAATGAGAACTACCGAGGTGGAATATGGCAGTTCCTCACAGGACAGAAGATGGAGAAAAGTGAAGTTGACAACAAAATGAAGTGATGTGTGCTTGCATGAAGCTATCAGCCGCATCACACATGACACTTTTAAATTTTTGTTTTTAATGTACCCTTAAAAATATCATGTGTGAATAGGCATATTTGCCGGTGATGGTCTTACCGGTACTCTCAGAGAGCCAGGATTGGCTACAGTTCCCCATGGAGTATATATATGCCCAGTGTCTCACCCAGATCTGTGGCTGTGTAATGGGTGCAATGGCTCTCAATTAAGGCAGGCGTCACATTGTGAAAAAAGAACCAGTAGCAGAAACTGTGTGCATTTACCGTAACTCAATTAACTGTGGTTCCACATTGAAAAAGTGGTTTGCATTGTCTGCTAGCAATTACTGTAGCACTGAAAAGGATGTCATGCGGATATAACTGTTGGATTTGTCCTTAACCTGTCATGTGCTATTTGTCAAACAAGCTGCTGCATCCTTCTGTGGCCCAGTAGCCATCTCATTTTATATGTCACTGTGAATAAATTGCAAGTGCAGAAGGCCCCCAACTCTCTCTCACTCTCACTCTCTTAATGCAACATGGAACGAATGTCAGAAAAGAAACTGTGAAAGGATCATTGGTGGAGAATCAAGTGAGGTTTGATAGAAAAAAATTCCACTTGACTAGTACATATGGCATTTCTGGGTTATGGAGAGATTAAAGCCGTATCCAGTATTGTTATGCCATATGTTTGTGTCTGTCTTTTCCATCTGCATCAAATGGATTTTTGCTAAAGCAGGGGATTTATTCTGAAATGCTTTGCTCCTTTGTATGTGCCATTTCTTCAAACTGACATTTGATGGAGAGATGCTGGGTTGCTTATTTCATCAGCCAATCCTGCCAAACTGGTACATAGAATCTCTGTGTTACATGAGTTTAGTATTTATCAGCCTAGCTGTCTGGTTGGCAAGTTCTCTAACGATATATTAATCAGGCTTGAGTATGTAGTGTGCCATTCTCTTTTGTTTTGATGTCCTCAGGAGGAAGGTAGATGTTGTCTGTGACATATCTGGTTGACACCAAAATATAACCACCTCCTCTTCTGCCAGAGCTTAGAAAGTTACTTTTTCATATTAACAAAGTTAGGAAAAACTCTCAGTTAAATCACATTTATGTAAGTATCTTAACAAGCCATATAATTAATCAACTAGTGCATAAGCAATTACAAAATCACATAAGCACACAGGAAAAAAAAGTCTTACCCACCCATCCTCACTTAACTGTCCACATTCTCTTTTGCTGGACCTATAACTATGGGGTCCTGATTCAAGAGGGGAATTTTTATAATAGAAATTACTATTGCTTTTACTACTTCTGACATTGCAGTTCCTGCAAATCAGAATCTGGCAAGCCGTCACCATGATGATGAGTATTATTATTTTGACCTAAAGTTACACAGCCTACAGATTTCAATTGATTGAAACTACAGGAGTCTAGTAAAATAGAGTAGAGCAAATCATAGGACCTGCAAACACCACCTGCTAGTCATGTCAGCACATTACAATGTTCTACATATTATAAAACAATTATAAAACAATTATTTCAATACCCCTTTACTGCAATATTTCCCATAATACATGAGATCTTGACAATAGTTTGGCAGTACATCTGAATTCCCAAGCTACGGTTGTGCTGCTCTGTCTCACAGAGCTGCTGCAACATGGAAATGTGAGTAAACATTTTAAACAGATACCAGAGAACACAATAGAAAAAGTAGAGTAGTAGCTTTACAATCTAGCTTCCCCTGTTTTCTATTGAAAACTGAAACCGTGGTATAGGGTCTTTAATGTTGTTAGCAGCATGTGATGTGATGTGACCACTATCTGCATCTCCCCACCTCTGCATAGTGATATCATCTGTTCTACCCATATTAAATTTTATATGGATTCCTGCTTAGCCATGGAAATTCATTGGGGGGGGGGTGTAACTGGTAAAGCCAGTCTTTAAATATCTCACTTACCTTGAAAGCCCTATTAGTCAGTTACAAGTAGATGGCACATAACAATACTATTCTTACATGTAATTTTGCTAAAAATGCATATTTCACAATATGTTCACTGATACATATATATTCTCATCATGGACTCTGCCCTACGTATGTGTTAGTACACACCTGATTAGAGACGTCCATTGCAGAATTGAGAGAAGTGTGAATTTCAAAGGATAACTGGGTTTCTATCAGAGGCTTTGTTAGAATTTCTCCCTCCAGTGCACTCCAGAGCAACAACTAGTACCCAGCCTGTTCCTGTATTGAATACCATGTGGAGACACCAAAGAAAAGGGTTTTAATGTACGTAGACCCTTTTCCAGCACAACAATCTCCCCTGTGAAGGGAGCCATTAATATGATGGCTACAGAAGTTTGTCGTTACATTGAGAACCAGAGCAGCTTCTCTATGGCTAGAGGTCATGAGGGACCTGATGAACATTAGCTTTAATTAACAGTAGAAAATGGTGGGCAACTAATCCATCTGTGGACACAGTGGTTGTGCTACATTACTAAAAGTGAGAAAAAGAAAGAAGGAATGACCTACAATGGTATCCCAGTGTGAGAAAAAATCTCCATGGAACTTGAGGGGTTGTATAAATGTAAATGCGATTACGGTGGCATAGTCAAAGGTCAGTATGAAACAATGCTTTCTTTTTTTCCACTCTATACTTTAAGCCTCTTAGATATCCAGAAAAGGATTAGGGAAGACAATGCACAGAATTGCCTTGTGTACCCACAGCAGCCTATTCAAAACTAGAGCACGACACCAGTTTACAAAACGGAGACTGAGCAGCTGTGGGCCCTGAGTCTGGATCTCTCTAAATAATAGTACTAAATACAACTAAAATAACAGTAGGAGAGGGATTTCATTTTTAAGAACATAACCTGGTTCCACTATCCAGGAAGCCAGAAAAGTATGCCTTCTGCTTTAATTATAATTCTTTCTAGAGGTTCATAGTTTTGAAAATCGAACAGCATGAAAGACCTCCTCTCTGCATCAAACTTTCCTATTCCCCCTCCAGAAACAAGTATATCTAAAGGATCCATACAATAGTGCAACCACCTCCTTTACCATATGTCAGCAACGTGAAGCCTGTAGGCTGCATAGGACTGTCCCAGGATTCCATGATCCTCCAGCCACCCTTCAGCTTCCACCATTTGTGGTCAAAATGATGAGTTGGAACCAAGGTTCTGAGCAAGGCCACAATTTTCTATACAGAGGCTGTTTTGCCCTGGAACCTTTTTTTTCCCAACAACATTCCCCCCAAAAGTCATTTTTTTTAAAATCTGAGAAGGATTCAGCTGGTTACTTTCTGGTTTTTAAAGGCCATTATGAGCAACCTATTAAAAGCCAATTGTGCTCCCCATAAGTTTCCAGGGCAACACAGTTGGCCATTTCCATGACTACAAAGAGTCATTTTATCTTTTGCAAGGAGTAAGTTGTGGCTGGGGACAGCCCTTGGAAGTGAGAGGGATAGTGAAAACATCCCCTAATCTCAAGGAAGCTGCCTGCTCCTGGCCTTCACTGTTGGTATACACTTTGTTTTACCTCATCAGAAATAAAATATGGGCTGTACTCTGCAGTATGAGTGGGGAACCACCAGCCTTCCCAGATATTTTGGACTCCAGTTTACATAGTTCCAAGCCCACAAGGCTAATGGTAAGGGAATATGGCATCATATTCTAAAACATCTGGGTAGCCAACACTTTGCATCTATTCAATACTATTTCTCCAAACAGAATCGTGTCACTAGAAATGGTTTTGACCATATCTCAGAACCCATCACTGCAGCCCAATTTGGAAAGAAAGTCATGGAAGAATTGCTGTAGCTTTGTACTCCTGAAAGTTTTCATGGTTTTAGAACAGGGAACACCATAGCCTTCCAGATAATATTTCGCTTGTAACTCCCCTGACCATTGGACATGCTATTTGGGATGATGGGAGCAGGAATTCAACAAGATCTGGAGGACAAAAGATTCTTCAGCTGCATGTCAAGGAGAAAGTTCCAATGTTCTGTTTCTCCTCTGATAGTATTTTACCCATGAGTACTTAACTCATAGGTCCTCATCTGCTCATCCACGCTGGAGAATATCTTACATGTTCACCTGCATGGTAAATCCTTGATCTAAGGGGTGGGGTGTGTGAAAGCATTTTATGGTGTACATAGCTCATTTTGGACAGCCTGCTCCAATGCAGGCTGATTTGAAAACTCCTGGGGGGGATGAGGAGATTGGTAATAATTTGTGATTATGATTGAAGGCCAACTGTGTATCAAGGAGCTTCTGGAATGCATGTTTGGAGAAAAATAAACAAGTTGCCTTTATGGACTACAGATCCCAGAAATCCGTCAAGGAGATTGGCCTCATCCAGTATCCTTGAGAGAATCTGGGACTTACAGACCCAGAAAAAGGAACTTTTCAAAACTCTGAAAATGAGACAAGACTACAACATTAACACTGGGGAAGGGAGAGATGGAACAAGAGTTATCTGGAGATCCATTCAAAGTGCCTGTTCTCCATGGACCAATTTTTGAGATAATCAAACCTGCCTATTCGGTTCCTAAATGTTTTACCATTTCTGAGCCCTGTTGAGTACGTAACAGTGACCTGCTTCTTTCAGGTAGCTTGTGATGCACAAAGAGAGGATTTGACCAATTTAGAAACTGGACAGGGCTTTTTACATAAATCACACTGTCTCATGTGCTAGCCTGTGGAGGCTGCAAGAGAGCCTTTTCTGTTACTGTACTCAAGGAAAAGGATTTGGAAAAACAGAATGGAACCACACCTTTTAGAGAAGGGAAGATTAAACTCCCTCCAGGGCTTTTCAGGTACTTTACATTGACTTAATTCAACTGAGTGTCTGAAAAGAAAAAGTAAATATTGGAATGGAGAAGAATGAGCATTGAAGTGCCTTTTAAACATTGGGGGTTGATCCCAGAGTGTTGGTGCCACTATGAAGACCCTGCTTCTGGTAGATGTTTTCCAGGGAGGGAGGGAGCCAGGCACAGTTTCACTGGGGGTTGATTCCAGAGTGTTGGTGCCACTGTGAAGACCCTGCTTCTGGTAGATGTTTTCCTGGCCTCCTGCGGAGTGGCCATTTGGAGGATCGAACCCTGGAAAGGCCTAGTGGTATGGGTAGATGACAATGGGAAAAGACACTCCAACAAGTAGCATGGTCTCAGGCTGTGAACAGCTTTGTAGGTGATCATCAGAGCCTTAAATCTGATGCAGGAGGTGACATCTAACCAGGGCAGGTGGGCCGGAACTGAGAAAATGTGGTCAAATTGTATTATCACCTCTAGTATGAAATCCTTCATGGTCTAGGATCACATGAGGAAAAATGAAGAAAAGGAAAATGGAAGCAACAGTAACTACTGTCTTCATGAAGTCATCACTTAAAAGAAAGTGGGTGGGTGGAGAATGAAAGCAAAACAGAACATGTGAATTATAATGAACACTAATGGGAGGAAAAACTAAGATTAATTAACTTTTGGAGAACATCCATAACAAAATACACTTGCACTAAACTCACATGCATGTTTTAATGTTCCTTTGTTTTAGAAGGGCCCCAGATAATTTCTTCTCCTATACAAAAGATTTTTGTAACACCACAACACGTGTGTGTGTGTGTGTGTGTGTGTGTGTGTGTGTGTGTGTGTGTGTGTAAAACTTCCA